ACTAACTTACTTACTAAACGTAACTATACTAACTAAACTAACTAGTAACTAAACTAACTATATATATATATATATATATATATATATATATATATATATATATAATTATTATTTTTTGACTAAGTACATAATTAGGGGGGGTTTGGTTTCACAGCCAAACAACTCACACCCTCTCGCCCCAACCCCCAAGTGACATACATTGTTTCTGTGGTGCCTCAACCATGAGGTTCCTGCCTAGGTGGCCAAGGCATGGTTTAGGCAGTTCCTTCTGCTTTTTAGAACACTAGCAACTGTCGCGCTGCAGCAATAGTTGTGCAAGCGTTAATGGTCATGCAACTGGCGGATGAGTGTGTGGGTGCATACCTTGGGCTATAAACCCCTTTGCCTAGAGCCTTTAGTGGCATCCATAGCTGTACACAGAAACCTATAGATCTGATAAAGAGTTGGGCTGAGGCCCCTTTCTATACCTTGTGTTTGTATCTCTCTCCATTTCTCTTGTGTGTGCCTCTGGATTGGTGGTTTTGCCTTAGTCCAGGTTCAACTCTAGTATGGTGTCACACGGGTTGGCTATATTATAAATTGGCCTTGTGATCAGAGTGGTGGTTCTCACTTTCTCCATCATCTTCACTCTAATGGACAGTGATTACCTTGATGGGTTATACTATATTTCCGCTTTGTTGAAGGCTTTGTTTGCGATAGTGGAATTATCTGATCATTCCTTCCCTGATTATAATCTATAATTCTATATCAGATTTGCTGTATTTTTTGCTTTTGGATCTTAAACAGGGTTTTGTGTTTTCAGGTTCCCCTTTTCAACATACTAAAGAAGTTTGATGGTGAATCAGTCACTGAAGTTGTGAGACCTCATCTTGCCAGGATGAGATATCGTGTAATCAGGTTACCCCAGTATTTGATTCTCCATATGAGGAGATTTACAAAGAACAATTTCTTTATGGAAAAGAATCCAACTATTGGTGAGTCACATATCCAGCAACATTTAATATTCTCTCTTCTCTTAATTATTGAGAATTATATACTCACTTAATTCCATTCCTCTCAAACAGTGAACTTTCCTGTGAAAAACCTTGAGCTTAAAGATTATATTCCATTACCAACACCTAATGATAACGAGAGATTGAGGTCAAAATATGATCTGATCGCAAACATTGTACATGATGGAAAGCCTGGAGAAGGATCTTACAGGGTGTTTGTGCAAAGAAAATCAGAAGAATTATGGTATGTTGGTGGCTTTATATTTCCTATGATATTTAAAGCTATATATGTAAAACCTCATAGATCCTCCTAATGAAACTTAATCTCTTATATCTCAAACTTGCAGGGCAGTGGAGAGTGAAAGTGACTATTGTTTCCTTTCCTGTTGCTTTCTTTAATTGTTGTTTATTCTTCTGCTCTAGTTCGAAATAAGTCATTTGGCTATTTGAAAAAAGAGAAAAATATCTCAAACAATCAAGAGGTCATCTGACCTGTTCCTTATGATCAAAGTTTAGATTTTCATTCATGAGGATATATGCAGTTCTGTGTATATAGCTGTAAATTTCCTTACTTTTTAAACTTTGTTCATGATTTTCAGATTGATTGATTGACATTGATCTTATTGTTCCATCAACTGAATATTACTTTGTAAATTTTTGCTCTGATGGGTACCATTCAATTTTTCTGTTTTTTGATTGGTGAGTGCTTTTCGACTATCAGGTATGAAATGCAAGACTTGCATGTGTCAGAAACTCTTCCTCAAATGGTTGCCCTCTCAGAGGCTTATATGCAGATTTATGAGCAGCAGCAGCAGTGATGACTGAGTATTTATAATGTTGTGTGTAGCCTTAATCTGATGACCATATCCTTTCCGATCACATGTTTTAGTTGTGCAGTAGGTTCGTGCTATCATCATTGACCAGCTGTTATTATAGCTCACTCAAATATTGCTTTATTTTTACATCACAAAAAATTGGATTCTAGTCGTCCTCCTACCCAAAAGAAACTTGGGTCCGCGTTAAGACCATGAGGGGAAATGAATATAAACTGTACTGAAGATTATATTGGTAATGATGCAAGAGTTTTGTAACTTGCTTCAATTGATTAGTGAAGCATAGTCTCCGTATAATCTATACTTTTACAATTTTCATCATGTATCAGTTCATTTTTGTATATTCATGTGAATTCAAACAGTTGTGGAGCAATGCTAATCAAGTTGAGAATAAAATTGAGTTTGAAGGCTGTACAGATATGAGCCTGATAATGATTATGATCCTCTCAACTTATGGAACTGATAATGATCATGATCATCACGATGCTGATGATGAGAGGAAAAGATTGGTTAGTACCATATTAGGGTAGCGCCAAACAATGAAGCCTTGGCTTCCCTCATGCAATCCAGGTGCAATCTGTAAAGATTAAATGCCCTGGGATCAATGCATTGAACAGGAGTGTTTTCTCTCTCTCTCTCTCTCTCTATATATATATATATATATATATATATATATATATATATGTGTGTGTGTAGTGTAGTGGTCGGACGACGACGACAACACGTAGTCGCGTCGTACGTGTGGTACGTAAGTAACGAAACGAACGACCGA